TCACTATGTATCTACACCCAAAGATCTATACAATATAAAATGTTTTTACCTACAAACATTATACACAATTTAAAAAAATATTTTATCTGTTTTACTAAAGTTCAAACAATGTCGTAGTTTTTGTAGTTTTGATTTAAAGTTTATATTTAGATATAAAAATAGTTAATGTATGGGTTACGATAATTTATGTATGTATACAAGTTTTGTATTATGTTGTAGATGTTACATATATGATATACCAATGCATTTTGGAAACGAAAAACAACATTTTAATTTCTATTTTTTTATACATATAGACAATTAGACACTTATTAGTTAATCCTAGAATATTAATTATTAGTTATTTCTATTTTTTAGAAAGTGACTTGTGATCTTATTATAAAAGGACTAATGGGTAAACATTTGTTTAATTATTTTTCAAATCTATACTATTTTATATATATTCATATAGTATAGTTTGTCTAAATCAAAATCATAAACCAATTAAAATAAAAGGACGACGAATCTGTTTTTTCTTTTAAAAAAGGGTCAATTTGCCAATTAACAAATGCAGGATCCATGTTCAGGTAACGTTTGAATATCGATCCGAAGTTTTCAGTCAGTGCAGGATCCAACTCTTCGAAAAAGTTGATGAAAACCGCATTGGCACGAGGTAAAGCAAGACCCATTTGGTGCAACGTATTTGAGAAAACAGAGTCTAATTTCCCAAACAGAGTTTGGGTATGTGTACCAAACTAACTAAAGTAATTAAAGGTAGAGTCTAGACTTGCTCCCTCAAAAGCTAGGTCTTCAAAAGCAATAGATATGTTTGTCGTAGCCAAAACAATGGCTGGAAAACTCTATTTAATAGCCATAACGCGACTTAGATAACTTCAGAAGGAGCCGAAGCAATTTTACAGTTCTGAAAAAAGTTTTAATCCGATCCTCCCTGGTGTTGCTCGACTGAATTTGTACTTCTTCGTTTTGTGACCTGGTTAGAATTCAAGAAGACATTAATAGTATAGTAGTTACTTGCTACAAACAACAAAAGCTCAAGATATAAATGCACTTACTTATCGGTGAGGAGAGGTTCTCAAATTTTTCTAGACCAGTGGTGGTGGTCTGGTCGGTATATATGGTTCTACCAACTGAGGGAAAAAGAAAAGAAAAGATGAGATGCTTTTGTGTATGATACATAAATACAATATGATCTAATAGTTGTAAAAGGGCTTGCCTTAAAAGCTATTCCGTGCAAAGCAGCAAAACGAAGGCAATTAGCGAGTATGCTGTTGGTAGGTTTTCCGAGCAGCAAAGTGTATGTTAATCCAGCTGCTGTTCCCACTGCCATGCTGTAAATATGTCCCCAAGTGATGAGAAAAGGGATGATAACAAAACATAAACATTTGTTATAGGAAAAGTGAATATGTTGGAAATGAACTTACAATGACATAAGTTCAGGTTTCCCTCGAATATGTATCATTGTGGAGGAAAGTCCAGAATGCACACCAAATACGGCACCAAAATTCCGAGCTGTGACCCATGGTCCCCCAGCCGGTAAATGAGACTATAATGAAAGATTCACACACAAAATCAAATACAAGATACATATATATAACCAAAGAAAGATGCAAGGGGTTAGGGTGAAACCGCAGCTTGCGAGCCGAGGCAGGCCTAAAACATTGTATGGACTAGAAACCCTGCGAAAGCTCCTTCTACACCGCTGATGGCGGAGGATGCAGCGACATTGATGGGCAGAGGCTGCTTCTGTGTCCAAGTTAATAGTTCACAATACTTGGCTTTCAACGTATGGAAACCAGTTACTATTCCTCGGCCGATACTTAACCTGCTTTCCACTCCTCCGCAGTGTGCAGAGTGATACTTACTGTTGCCTGGAGAAGTGAAGAGAAGCTTAGGGAGAGCTAGTTTGTTCGACTTTATCGTCTCAACGTTGATGTTTGAGAGACGCTTTCCAATTGATTCTTCTGCAAGGTGGAAATTGGGAAAAAAAAGCCGATTATTGAAAAATTCATGTCCAAAGCTTTTGAGTGAAGGATTCACGGTATCGAATAGACCTACTCAAATAACCCTCAAGTAGAAAAAATCCTTTAGAAGTGGCCCCAAAGCACAACTATTAAACGAACACGCAATACCCCAGCTTTAACGCAAAAGAATGGAATCGTGCACAAAATTGATAAACCAGGTACGAGAGAGAGAGAGATGAGGTGATACCGGCGTATT